GCTGCTGCTGGTGCTTGGAGGTCAAGCCCAATTTCACTCCCCTAGGCAAAGGAGGGAGAGATCTGGATCCAGGCAGAACTGGAAGAGCCCAGACAGGTCTCTCATCTAGTTGTGTCCCCTCCCCTGCCATCCCTTGCTATAAAAGACCCCAACATACCTGGACACGGAAGATGGTGATTCGAGGCAAATGGGCCCCTCCATCTCCTCGGGCCAGCTTTGAAAAAATCCTTTTTTCTCTTTGCCAAATAAAATGGCCTTCTTTGCTTTGGTCAGAGGAGAGTAAAGAAACCTGAGCATATGACAGTCAAGCCCAGGCCTCCCTAAAACAAACACAGGGGTGACATCAGCCTGCCAAAGTGTGGCAAGTGTGGCAGCTCCCCAGAGGGTCTCTGGTGGCCATTCTAGTGCCACCACCATCCCTAGAGCCAAAAGTTCCTCCTGATTCCCAGGGCACAGTTTCATGGTACCTTTCACACTCAGCTTTTTACTATTCCTTTGAGTGCTAGTTTTATGTCAGAGTCTTTCCTCAGTTTCTCCTAAACAAACCGTCTTCATGCCCAGTGCTCCATTCTGGGTTGGACTGGTACTGGTGCCGCTTGCTAGATTGCAGATGACACTTCCGGCTAGCCTGGGTGACACTGATAAGCTTCATTAAGTCGGAGTTAAGACAGAGGTCACTGCAAAGCTGGCCTGAGTGTTTACTGTCTGCAGGCCCATAACTGAGATCTATTTACTCTGCCCTGTCTAATCCTCACAACTTTGCTTGCAAGCACAATTACACTCAGCACCCTGTATCTGTGGTTCTGCATCTGTGAGCTCAACCAACTGCAAATTGAAAACATTCTGGAAAAAAAAATTGCCTCTGTCCTGAATACATACAGGCTTTTCTCCTGTCATTACTTCCTAAACAATATGTTACAGCAACTACTTATATGGCATTTACATTGCACTAGCGTTATAAGTTGTGATACGGGATGATGTGTGTAGTTTATTTGCAAGTGCTATGCAATTGTACAGAAGGGACTTGATTATCTGTGACACTTGTGCCCCTGAGGACAGGGGAGTCCTGGACATATTCCCCACTAGAGAGGGTTAAGGACCCCAAGTCACAGGCTCCTGCATCTGAAGGTCTCGGGGGTCTGATGGGGACCTCATCCTGCACCTGACCTTGTGTGTTCCTTCAGCCCATGGAGGGGTCACAGGAGGTCCTGAAGGATGGGGTAAGGGACCCGAATTCCTCGATGCTTCTACACTGCAGCAGGTGGAAACTTCGGTGACCCAGTGGGTCATCATGCACAGTGACGGAAGCAGTTAGGAAGGAGATGGGCATGGCAAGGCTGAGTACAGGAGGCCCTGGGAAGGTAAAGATCAGGGTTCTACGCTCATTCCAAGAAGGTGGCAGGTCAGACTGCCTGCGCTTTCCATATTAGTTGTTGAAGACATTTTAATAGTGAAACGATGGACATACTAATTAAGTAAGACACAGACATATACATGGTATATATTTTTAGAGAAAGCAGGCTTCAAGGAAGCATTGCACTTGTGCTGTGGTGGAATGGTAGCCCCAACAATGTGACTGTGAGCTGACTTTGGAAAGGGTCTGGCAGACACTGCAGGTGGGTGCTAAGATGAGATCATCTTGGCTCAGGATGAGCCTTCAGTCCAACGCCAAGTGCCTTTCCAGAGAGAGGGCCCTGGGTGCCAGGGGTGTGAGGACGAAGGCAGGGACAGGAGTGATGGTGCACAAGCCAATAGACACCTGGAGCCAACAGTGCTGGCAGAGCAGTGAGGACTCTAGATCCTTCAGAGGGGGTGGGACACCTCTATTCAAGGCTGGGGGCTTCCAGAGCTTGAGTCATTGACTCAGTTCATTAAGGTGGCCCCAGGATACTAATGTGGCCTCACAGGGCCAAATTCCTCAGCCTTCCTGGGGACAAATGCCCACTCTTTTGGCACAAGGGGACTTGGAGGAGACTGTGGGTGGAATGGGGTCTGGGGGACAAAACGGGTTACTTTTTAGGAAGGCTAGGAAGACACTGATGTCCAGTGAGAGTTGGGAGAAGTGGAAGAAGCCAGTAATGGATGCGGACCCATTGGAGGCAGTGGGAGGAAACGGCAGAGAGCTCTGGAGGCATTCACCCAGCACCCACTGCTTGGCTCTTTCACTGACAAGTGTCAGTTTCTCATCTGTAAAGTGGGATGATGCTACTCTGTGAGCCTAGAGCCCATGTGTGCTACGAATTTCATCAAAGTTCATCCTAAGTATGGTCAGGAATGATGTAAACATTAAGGGGCTGTCCTGGAGAGGGAAAGGAAGGTACTTGCAGAGAGACAGTTAAGGATTGGCATCATGGAGGTAAAGTGAACCAGGTCTGGGGTCATCTAGAGCCCTGTCCTCCCTTCTCTTGGAGGCCTTGATCAGTGGAAAGGAAGGGGTCAAGATGGCAATGGGATTTCTGCCAGGAGCTAAGGTGGCCTCTAGGCCAAGCCAGAGATGGGCAGAAAGAGTTGGTTTGGGAAGGAATTGGTTTCATTTTGAACATAGTGACCTAGGAGACACCCTGAATCTCCCACAGGGAGAGCAGACAGGTTGGGGCTCACTAGTGGACAGCTGCAGTACTGGGAGTGAATCAGAGCAAGCCCGGGCCAGGAGCACACAAAAGATGAACCATTCTTAAAACAAAAACAAAGAACAACAACAACAGGAAAAAAAAAAAAAACCCAAAGTGCACATCAGAATAAAAACAAAGGGGCACATCTGGTTTGGGAATGTTGCTGTCAGAGGCTTGGAAGACAGCTCACCCCTTACAAGGAGGCAGAGAGGGCAGGTCAAAAATGTAAGGGCATCCAAATGAAAGGTCTCAGGTAAATGAAAAGATGGTAGAGTTTAGGACTTAGCAGAAAACTGGGTAGAGTAGGGACTGAGAACTGCCCACTGAGCTGTAGGATGTCATTGGCAACTGTACTGAAAATCAGAACAGGAAGAGAAGTGTGAGAACTATGATTCAAAGGAAGTTTACAAAGCACAGATGTGAAAAACTGGGTCAAAGAAGTTACACATTTGTGTGTGTGTGTGTGTGTGCGCGCGCGCGTACATATGTGTATGGGTGTGTGGTACTAGGATCGAACTAAGGGCCTTTGAACTGAGCTACACCCCCAGCCCTTTTTATTTTTAATGTTGAGATGGGTCTCACTAAGTCACTGTGCTACCCAGGCAAGGCTCGAACTTGGGATCCTCCTGCCTCAGCCTCCCAGAGTGCTGAGCTCACAGGCATACTCCACCATGCTCAGCTTGTTATACTTCTTTTGAATAAAATAACTTTAAATGGGGCCAGACTATAGATCAGGATCCTGTTTCCTTATTCTAAAGGTAGATATTATGAAGACAGGGTTTACACAAATGGATGAATGGAGGTCGCTTCTTTCCTAAGGTCAAAGTACAGAAGGAGGTGGACACACAGGTCTTCAACACACCCCTTCTCCTGACTCTCCTTCCACTTTCTGAGCCAGGAAGGGCCACCTTTTGCCCGGTGGTGCCAGGTACTTCACATAGGAGGTGGGCAATCAGCATCTCCTCATTTGATAAATTAAAGGAAGGCTGAGACTGTTCAAGGTCGCATGGTTCTGGAAGCCCCTAGCCCAATGCTTCACGGTCTGACTACAAAGCACACTGCGGTTATCCAAGACTTCCTTCGGGAAGCAGGCAGGGAAGAGTAATCCAATTAAGCTCCCTTGTTATCTTGGGTGAATTATTCCTGCCTTAATGATAAGGAGAAGCCAGGAGCCCAAGAAAGAATCTCACTAACAGGGACACAGGCAACCCCACCAGGAAATTAAGAACCATGTGAATATTCGGATTTCCTCTGGGAAACCGCAGGGGAGGAGAGTGAAGAAGAAACATCTGGATTTCTGTCTCTGTGAAAGGGAAAGGCATTTGTCTCCCTCCTCCGGGAGTGGGGGGCTTGGTTTTCCCAGTTAGTTCACAGGTTTGGTTTCTGCAGGCTGCATGCACACAGGGGTCCCATGCACCATCCTCAGGACTCTGAGCCCTCTCAGTCCCCGGGGTGCCAAGAACCCCAAGTCCCCACCCACAAGGCCCAGGAGCCCCCTAGGGCGGAGTCTAAATGTGTCTGGGTGGGAAAGTAAATAGATGCGAGGAAACACATAAAGATGCCCACAGCAGGCCGGGGGAGGAAGTGACATTTCTATGTCAGCCACTTTCCCGACCGACTCGAGGCCCGGGCCGCCGAGGGTGCCGTGGGAAAGCTTCCGGGCGGGGGCGGTCGCCCACGGCCCGAGCATCGCGATCCAAGCAAGCAGTGGGGACACAAAGAGGATGAGCGGGGTCTGGCACGCTGCCGGATGTAGCCGCCTTGTCCCCACCAGGGTCCCCGCCCTAGTCTCCACCCGGGTCCGCTTGCTCAGGTCTGGCGGGACTTCCCCACCGCGCAGGCGTCCCGGGCGCGCCCCCAGGTGGGTGAGGCGAGCACGAGCCCGGACGGGGCGGAGTCACGGGGGGAGGGGGGGCGGTGCCGCGCGGGGCGCAGGGGGAGGAGCCGGGGGGAGGCGCGGGTCGCGCCGCCGTGATCGCCAGGCCCAAGCTCTTCGTGGATCGCGGATCGCCTGGCGGAGCGCGGGGCTCGGGCGCTCGGGCCGGGTCGGCGGCCGAAGCATCCCCAGCGAAGCACCAGCGAGGACAAAGGCGGCGCTGCCCGGACCCGCGCTCCTGGTGTCTCCGCGCGGCCGAGGTGAGTGGGGCGCAAACTCGGGGCGCGCGGCCTGGGGTCCCCGCCAAACACTCGGGGCGGGGGGGCGCCAGTTCCTCCCCAGACCCCGATCCCCCACCCGGTACCTCACCCTAATCCTCTTTCTCGGATCCCCACCCAGGGCGCGGGGAAGCCCGGTGTGCGAGCCATCCGGGAGCTGGGCGGGCAGGCGTAGGGCTCACAGAGCTCGGGCGCGTGGCGAGGCCGGAACCGGAGAACTTGCTGTGCAGATAAAACTATTTACAATCGGGCCGAAGCTGCTGTCACCTCGCCTAAGGGAGGTCCTTGCCTCGGCCCAGACGCTTTTGTGCGGTTCTCAGCCATGTGCCCTGCCCGGATTTCCAAGACTCCAGCAACCGCCGCCGGAAGCAAAGTTTCTCCCTTGTCCCTGCCCTCTCGGTGCACGCAGGGCGACTCCACCGCCTGGTGGTTCTGGAGGAATCGGATGTGACTTTTCAGGCAGCGCCGGTAACTCCCTGGTGAGCGCGGCTCTCTTGGTATTGTGTGGAGGGGCTCTCTTTGCAAAAGCCCTCTTTTGTGGACAGGGAGGACTGGCCCTGAAGGTCTGCGGGGATGCCGACTGATGGACACAGGACACCTGACTTTCACTAGTATTGTCAGCAGCCTCAGGGACAAAGCCAGACCGCGCGTGGAGTTGGCTTCCGTCACTTCAGACCGTCGGGGCTGGTCTCCTTTATTTGGCTTTGTGTATTTTGCCAACAGGTTTGCGGCTCATTCTGCCAAGTTTGTACCCGTAATGGGATGAGTAGGCCCCAGTCTGGGCCAAAGGGGCTTCGGACATCTCAGGGCCTGCTTTTGTGTTGACCCAGAAAGATGGGAACCCAGAAGCCGGTGGGCGGGGCACCTGGGGACCCACAGGTAGGAACTAGTCTCTTCCTGGTCGTAGCCTGTCCGGGTTTCTGGAAAGGATTTTGTGTAGGAAGGAAACTCGATCTGGGTGTTTTCATGCGGCTGTGTTTGATCTGGTTATCAACAGTGGTTTTGAAGTCTTAAAAGTGAAAAAAATTAACCGAGGCTGCTTTAACTTATCAGAACAGATCTCCAGGCTGCCCGGAGCACTCCTGAAACTCACCCAGGCTTCCTAGATGAAATGGTTGAATTAATAGCAGGGGATGCAGGCGTGTGCAGGGTTTTGTGGAGAGAATGGTGGTGAGCACTCATGGGAGAGAGAGCGCTGAACCTAAGGCCGGCTCTAGAGCAGGGCTGAGGAAGCGTGCACGAGGGTGAATTTGGCAGCCATGGTCCTCTTCCTACAGTAGGCTAGATGTGGCTTTGATCAGGGAAGTGGCTGGGTCTGGGAGGCCTGGTAGCTGCCCGTGTCTGAAATTGGTGAACTTTGCACAGGGGCCAGGGAGTGGGGAGGCCCACTTCCTCTCTTCTCAGAGCTCTTGTGCTACATGGCAGTGGGACTGATCGTGACCTGGATGAGACTGGGGGCAGGTTGCAGCCTGGAGAGTTGGCCTCCATCATGCCTCTAACCAACTTGTATGGATGGGTGGCCTGCAGAAGTTGGGCCTAGGAGGGTCGCTGCAGTCTCCTTCTGGCTCTGAGTTTTGCTGTATCAAATGCTGGGGACTTAACACTTCTTCATGCCTGTTCCTCCGGACCATGTCATGTTCCCAGTCCCTGTCATTTGTGTTGGGCTTTACTGAACTTTTCCAGCAAGCAGCAGATCTTGTACACACAGCATTTGAGAACTGTGCTTTCATTCTTATCAAATTCACCAAAAATCTTCCTTGCCGGTGCACAAACTGAGTAAGCTTTTTAAAGATGCGCTGAGACCCCTTGATGGCACAGAATGACCTGGGATCCTTTTTTGATCACTTGTAGCTTAATTTGCCCTGGCTGAAGGCTGTGTGGCCTTCTGGGATGTGCATGTTGCTAGGTGCGCAGCCTGGCTTGCTGTGTCGCTAGTGGTGGCAAAGCCAGTGGAAATGGTATCCTGACATTCAAAAGGAGGCCTAAAGCTGCGGGTGGGGTGGCCTGCTGTGTTTGGGAAAACTGATCAGCTAACTTTTTTCACAAATGAACTGGAAACTCCCAGCAGCTCCCACAGAGGCTGAGAGAATTAGTTTTCCCATTCAGAGCCACTGCAAATGGCGCTTCCAAATTGTTTTTCTTTTCGAAAATGCGAGATGGAAACATTTCACTGTGTGTTTTCTAAGGGCTTGAGCTAAAATATGGTATCTTGTGTGTATTCAGTGCCAGAGTTTAGGCCACCGTGGAGGTCAGGGCGGCCCTTTGACGGCTTATCACAGGTACGCAGCTGCACTAAGTACTTTGTCTTTTCTTTAGGTTTCTGGTAGTGCAATTTAACAAATTAGACTTTTTCTTTTTCTGCATTTCACTTTGAAATATCCCAAGGTACATTTGTATCTGAAGGTAAAGCAACAGGAGCAAGTTACACCCCTTGCCCAGCGCATACACAGACACAAATGCATGGGTGCTCCTATGCATGCACACACACACACCCACACACACACACACTCGTACATTCTTACATCACAATTCACCTTCATTGAAGCCATGGAAATGAAAAGGCTCTTTTGGTTGATGTGGCACTGTCCCAGTGTTGTCCCGTCCCTGGCCAGCCTCTGGGTTTCGTCTGGGCTTCCTCACTCGGCCCCCTGGGTGTCTCAAGTTCTCATCCTTCCTTTTCTTCACCTTATCAACTCTTATGTAGAGGGGGTGACTTTGTCCTTGAACCTCCGCAGTGTTTTGTGTCACTGATTTGGCATTTGGGACACTCTGCCCAATGGCTTGTTTGTGTTGCACTTGCTCTAGTAGATTATACAGTTATTGTGCACCTGGCATTCACTAGATAGGTGGATTCGGTTCTCAGCCCGCAGGTTTTGGGGCACTAGGTTCCCGTGGGTGTCAGAGTAGTAAGAGAGCAGTGGGGTCCCGGGGCACAGCTCTGCCACACCATGGGCAGCCTGGCTCCAGGTGTTCTGACAGCGGGAGGATTTGATCTGAGTTCCTGTCTATTTGGTAACTTCGGTCAAATGGATCATTAGAGGTCTTGAAGCTAAACTTAAAGCAGAGTCACAGAATTCATTTATGTTTCATAGACACTTTATACACAAAGGCTGAAGGTAATTTTATGTCTTTTTTCTGTGCACTTGTGTTTTGACCGGAACGAACCAAAGTCACCTTTTGCATCGCCTCGCTGTGGGTGGGGTGGGGCTTGTACTCAGGGTAGCGGAGGGTGATCCTGTCCACCTCAGGTGGACAGACTGGGTGGGTCTTGCCAGTGGGCAACTTAATGAGCATCACCCGACTTCCTTGTGTTTTTTATTTTTAAAAAGTTTTAATTTTTTTATGGTAATGCTTTTAAGTAAAGAAACCTCAAGCATGCTCAGAATTTAAATACAGGTTGAGGAGCATGAATCTGAAAATCTGAACTGCTCTGAAATCTGAACCTTTCTGAGCAACTGCAGGAGGCCACAAGTGGAAAATTCCGCACCTGCCCTCATGAGGTGGTTGCAGTCACAGTGCAGGTGTGCTGAAAATGCTGTGTACAGTCACCTGCAGGCTGTGTGTGAAGGTGTGTGTGACACAGTGGATTCCTGAGGCTTGATTCTTAACTATGTAACTAAGGTACCAGCAGGATAACCAGAACTTGGCCAGAGTTTCCAGTCTAGGTGGATAGGGACACTTCCCATTATGCATGTACCCATGTACCTGTTCCAGAATCTGAAAAATCTAAAATATGAATCTGAAAAATCTAAAATCTGAAATACTTCTGGTGTCAAACTTTTTGGATAAAGGCTACTCAACATCTGTACCACAGTTTCTTCTTTTAAGTCAGTATTGAAGTTGGATGCAGTGGTGCACACCTGCAACCTAAGCATTCAGAAGGCTTAGGCAGGAGGATTGTGAATTAGAGGTCAGCCTGGACTACATAATGAGACCTGTTTCAAAAACAAATAGAAATAATAACAAATTATTTATTGATTTATAAATGAAAACAACCTAGTATTGGCAAATAGGATGCTTTTGCTGGGCCATTGTTAATGAAGATCTGCAGTGCACGATGAGATGAGAACGATGTGTCCTGACGCTTGTGTGGTGGTTTATAGTTTATAAAGCCCTCTCACAGGTGGCATCATATTCGATACTCTAAACAACATGGTGGAACAGGCTCCAGCCCATGTTCCTGGGGGAGGATGGTGGAGCCCCAGGACATAGAACTCAGTTCAGGGCCTTCCAAGGGGCCCTGTCCTGCTAGGCTGGTGGTGGTGGAAGACATCAGGGTCCTGCTAGGTGAGCAGGTGTAGTGGGCTGGGGGTGGTGTGGGCTGTGCCTGGTGGGTGGCAGCTGTGTCAGAGTCTTCGGGCCTTGGGCTGACCCCAAGGACAGCCATCCGAGGGTAGCTGACAGGGTGGGCTCAGGGCGCTGTTTGGGCCTCGTGGTCGCCCTAGGGAGGAGGAGGCCACAGGCGCCAGAGAGTGGGTTCCTGCTTGCTGCCTGTAGAACGTGGCTCCATGTCTCTTGTGGAGCTCCTTGGCCCAGGCCAAGCAGCAGCATTTACTTTCTCATGGTCCTGGAGACTGAAAGTTACAGGTCAAGTTGCAGCGGTGCTGGTGTCCGTGGGGTCCCTTCTGGGCCTGGTGCACTTCCTGCTTTGCCCTTGGTGGCCTTGCTTCTGTCCACACAGACTGATGTCTCTGGTGCTCTTCCTCTTCTTGTGAGGCCAGCAGTCCCTGTTGGTGGGATCTTGTTACCCACATTCCTGTCCTGTCTCAGGTGCACTCCAGGTGTCATTGGTGGGCTCTGCAGCCAGGGATTCATCAGCTGCAACATCCAAAATATTTGCAATTGTTTTTGTCTGTATGAGGTTTTTTTTGGTTATTATCCCTTCAGCAATACAATGATTCACACATCCTCTACATCTTGTTGTTGCTTACTTTTCTGAGACAGGGTTTCACTATGTAGCCCAGGCTGGCCTCAAACTCACGGTGATCCTCCTGCCTCAGCCCCTTGGGTGCTTGGATTACACGTGTGTGCCACCATACCTGGCTTGTGTGAGGTAATGTGAGTAATCTAGAAATGATCTAGACTATATGTAAGGATGTGTGCAGGCGATGCCAAGTGCTCAGTGCCATTTTACAGAGCGCCTCGAGTGTCTGAGGATGTGGGTCCCCTCGGGGTCCAGGGACCAGCCCAGCAGTCCACCATGGGACCCATGCATTGTCACCTGGGGACTAAGACTCTACATTTGCAGTCTGTGTCTGTGTTCTCAGTGAGGCTGGTGACTTCAGGACCTGGTGCTCCCTCGTCTAGACCTGTGGGCTCTGCCATCCGAGGTCACTGCCTGGGGCAGGTACAGCACAGTGAGAAGTTGAGTGGGATGGTCAGCTTATTTGGGGCTCCTGGCAGAAGTGGTGTCAGGGAGGTGCCTGGATACTGGCTTCTCCATGCTGCTTGGGCCATGAGTGGAGTGGTTTAGGAGAGA